CATACAAAAATAAATCAATCATCGTATATCAAATTTTTTTTTTACACTTTCAATAAACATATTAAAATAATTTGTTTTCATAGCATTCTTATTATACCTCTTTATGCTACTTATTCTTATTATGCTACTGCGTTAATCTAAACTGCATCACGCATTGACGTCATGTTTTCAAATCTGGAATACCACTCCAACATGCTATCTCAATTCTCACGTGTATCGTGTTTTGCCTTCTTATCACGAAATTGTCAAAATCATCGGATCACTCAATTAAGGATAACCATCGCAAAAATCAATTATAAAATGTGGTATACTAATGTACGTTACTTTACCCCCGAGATTGGGAAATACAGATACGTAAGTACATAATCGTTATCTGGATATCATCGAAGACCCCAAGAAGGGAAATTCCATGGCGGCTCGCGAATTGTTTAGATCGATAATGGTCGATTCGGCCGATTCAGCTTGGGGACTATTTTATTTGTCACAGCTGATATCGGCTATGAAAAAAAAATTTAATCTTCCTGTGCCGATAAGACGAAAACAAGAAAATAGGACTGAAATATTTGGTCAGCGATGACAAAGACAAGTATCGATGACTTACAATCATAGGAATAAAATCGCGAACGATGCAAGTGGCAAAAACTAAGAGATTATTTTTGTTAATGAATCGTACATATATTTATTTACTAAATTTTAGTTAGAGAATCATTAAAACTAAATATAGTCGTCGATTCGAGTAAATTTACTCGTTAACTGAAATAATTTCATAGATATACATACAATGCTATATCCCCTTTTCTTCCGAAGAAAGGCGATGAATCTCGATGAGGCAATTAGCGTCGATGATTACAGTTATCGTTTCGATTCAATTCTTCGCAACGAGAAAGTCGATTTTTCGTTGGCATCAAGGCTGAATGGAATGATAAAACCTTTTATCTCGATCCCCACTGACTGGGAGAAAATTACGTAGAGCGGCACCACGAGTGATCGAGTGAGATTTATTTCCCGAGTCCAAACCGAAACTGAGAAAAAGAAATGAAAGAAAGACGAACCACTTCTCGACAAGCACTGTTCACTTTGTCAAAATGATCATTTTTTATAAGAAACACCTGTAATATAAGCACATCGTTATATAACGAAAACGAACGGTTCTTTGTCTAAAGATGCGAAGGGGGAATTCAGACACGGGTGGTACTTACGTACCGCCCCTCTCTGACCGGCATATGCACGTGTGTCATCTGTGAAGCACGTATCGTTTTCACCGGTTCTCGATAACTGATGGCCACGCTGCCACTGTTCGAATCGATCGCGAATTAAATTGTAATTATCGTCTCGTGGTCGTCAGCAATTTGGCTAATCCGCCCCACTCATATACGAATTTAGCCACTAATGAGATAAATTAAAACTCAGTATTTATCGGGGTTTCTGGTATAAAGCGAGCCAATCAATAGCTTACTCGAATCATTAAAACGTCAATGAAATCTTAAGCCTTATAATTTGATTGATGGACAAGTTATGTCAAACTTCGGAATACTAAAAGCAGGAGCTTTCAGAAAAGAAAACGTGTATCACATGTTTCTATCCTTATACACAAACGATAATAGATGTTATCAGCTGCTTCTTTACTCTGACTCGCATACCGTTGACAAGGAAGGTAAACTTTCAACAGTAGGTATGTTACATCCAGGCGAATTCCTCGGAAAACAGCATCGACACCTAATTGCTTAATTAGAACACCGCTGACAAACGTTATCTTTTCATTCTAGAATAGGACAGAAAGAACAGAATGTTTAGCGTCTCGTATTGCGTCGCCGTCTCGTTCGATATTCGACGATTCTCACGTTTAACAGATGATAAAACAAGAGAATCAGAAGTAAACATAACACTGAGAATCTGATTAGCATTTGCGAATTTTAATAGATATCTAAAATTGGTAGCAGAAGCTGAAGAGGTGACTGCATGCAAAAATAACTCAAAAAGAAGAATAACATTCTTTCGTATCGGGCTTTGTTTCCGAATAAATCAGTATCGAAAATTTACCGAATACACGTATACTTGATTAGTAGACTAGTCATTGTTGTATGCGTTTATTATACGAATTTACACGAATTTAGAATATGATGGAAATCGAAATTCTTTTATTTTGACGCATCGGAATTCAATTGAAAGCATACTGAATAACTCGTGATAGCTATTATTATCACAAAATACCTTATTGTAAGAGGAATAGGAATGAAGGTACAATACAAATTCGAACATTCTTTAACGAGAAAAATGAATCAATTTTTTTAGAAACAAAGCTGTGGTATGTTTAACGTGAGTCATATATTCTAATTAAATGATAAATATGTGCCGCAGCCGATCGACAGCTGCGAAAGTCAGATGTCAGGTATTCAAAATATGTTTAATTAAGTTTTGCATACAGGGAGTTCCATTTAAATGAGAACAGTGAAATATCTCGTAAGGGGTTAAAGTTCGAAAAAAAAGGTTCAATGAAACTCGTTTGATATAAAATGGCACATTATTAGTGTGAATTCAGCGACTTACTACGATTGCATATCTTAGTAACTCTTAACTAATTAAACGCAAAGTTCAGAAATACAGTCCTGAGGAAATACCTACGTTCACTTAAATAAGTATAATCAAGAAATTCTTCTCATGAAAACTAATTTGCAAGATAAATTGACTGACAATTTTGATTAAAATTTATCCTGCAAGTTCATTTTAATAAGGAGATTTACTTTTTATACCTGTTTAATAGTAAGAGTGAGTAGTAGCTTTCATCACGACTGTATCTCTGAATTTTGCAGCTAATTAGTTGCTTCTCAGCACGCGCAATCATAGTAGCTCGTTGAATTCGTCTCGACGAGCGGTACAGTATTTTGGATTAAATATGTAAAGTTCTACTTAAAAAAAATTAATCTGTTTTTGAAATCTCTATCCTCATTTTCTTTTTTATTATTTATTTTTTAATTTAAAAATTGTGTGTGCCGAATAACATTTTAATAACTTTGACCGCGTACGAGATATTTCACTGTTCTTGTTTAAACTTGTTATTTATATGTAGTTCTGTGTACCAGTTAAACATAAAATGATGAGCATGTCTCGAAGGATCTGACGGATTTCGATTGTAATCGTCACAGAAAGTTTCTAAATTTACACAACTGATTAATTGCGCCCGGGTATTCGCGTATTGGTTTACTGCAAATAAGAGAGATAAAATTGTCTGGAGATACTGTCTGTTAATATTAAACAAAAGTTGGTTAATTATGGCTCGTTTATCAACATTTTTGTTTAGACAGCGAAGGCGCAACAATTTAATTTTAGAACACGTATGCATTTATAAAATACCTTCGAAAGCGGCACGACCGCAACGCTACGAGACAGTGAAACGATCAGACGAATGGTTGTTTCAATTTCACAAAAATCGAATTCGATTCAACCAACACACGTGACTCAGGCTCTTGTTCCAAGTACAATCGTATAGTATAATTCGATCGTCTCGGACGACTCGTTTGTCTTATTCTTCGCTATTGTTCCCAGGTTCGAGGTCTTTGACTTTGCAGTAGGATGTTCGTATTTATCTAATACGTGAATCGTGGACACTCTTGAGTAATGTATTTTTTTACGAGAAAAATCGGAACGTCTTTCGCAACCGCGATTCGATTCGTAAATACACGGTTCCTTAACCTTTTGTACAGATAACTAGTCTTAGTAGTGATACCGACAAGATCTGTCTAAAAATCTAAAGGAAAATATCATGATAACACTATGTTGGGGACCACTACTGGACTGTTACATAATCTAATCTAATAAATCCGAAAAATAACACAGATAGGGGAGTCATATCTATTAGAGACTTCTAAACTTAATGTTGAAAAACAACTAAACAAATTAGTAAATTCGTCACGTCCTACAATATTCTGGTGCAAATTTTAGGAACAGTCTTAGGAAATGCATTTTTTACAAATAGTGCATTTAAAATAAGTCAACATCGTAAGAAAAACGTTTCCGATATTGTTCACCAATAAACCTACGACTTATACGAATGACAAAGACTGGCACGCGTATGACCGATTTCCCGTGTCACCATTTGCTCTTTGCTCCTCGAGGACACTACTACGACCGTTCGATGAAAAATCAATCAACAAAATCAATCGACTATGTATGTGAGTACATATGTCTGTTCATCTGCTGCCAACATTCCTCGAACGATTTCCGTCCGAATGAAATCGTGCGATAGAACGAGTTCGCCAACATGCAAGGGAATCGAGCCAACGATCGTACCGAAGCGGACTACGAAAAGAGCTTATTATAAGCGAAACGATTGTCAACGTTGCTCGCAGATCCTTGTGAAAGGATAATTTCGAAGGAGTCGAGTGATCCTTGTCTATTATCCTTTGCAATCGAGTCCGGGAAACAAATGAATAAATCTAAAATCGATAAGGAATTCTACTCACGTTTCCTGAACGGTGACAGCGAACGAAATGAATGAGATGACCGTGCGAAAAGGAGCTTGCACTCTCGTGAATGTGCGATCGCAAAGAAAGGTCACCCTGTTGAGATTGCCAGCGATTAAACCTCCTGCCATCTTCAGGTTTTTCAAATAATCGCAGTTAGAGGCAACCACCGATCTGATTGCTGGACACGATTACCCCTTTTTTACATTTCTCCGCGATGCACCCATCATAGGAAAAGGATTCCTTGATTTTGTCACATGCATAAGTATAGTCAAGTTGGGAGCAGATCGTCAAGCACTATGGCTCTTAATTAACAACTACTTCGTCGTAGTGCTGGCAGTACATCTGTGGAGAATGCAAATGTAAAGTGATTTGCATTCGACTATTAAGCTGAGCAAATGCCGTTTAAAGATTGACAGAGATAATCCCAAATTATCAATGAAGCGGAGTCTTTTTTTACAAGTTCCACATCTTGAAATATGAATCTCTTAGAGCACGGATTCTCACATTAATGAAGACTGCCTCAATAATAATTGAGATTCAGATAGTACTGTTGCGACGACTTCCTAGTAGTCTTATTTGCTAATAAGAAGAATATACATGTAACGCGGAAGAGAAATTATTCCAACCTCAACGCTTGTTAACAAGGTTCGAGGGTGAACAAATTAGAGAATCAAAGGAAAGTTATAATGAGGTTGCGAGTTCGGGTGCTTGTAACTGCACTTTATAGGAATTTTACTGCGTTCGGTGAAAAGTGTTAATTAAGGGAATTTATTGGATGATTCGGAAAACATCAAAGAGAATTCTAATTCCCCATTGTCCAACATCCCCATTAAAATTTCAAATTTTTTAGGTACAGCAATGACAATACACCTGAAAAATATTTTGCATATTTTGTTGCAGAAATTGCAAAGTGACAAAAATTAATGTCAATATGTAATTTATCCTGTATATTTTTTTTTAATTTCAAACAAAATATGCCTTTTTATATTTAATGTACGAAAAGTACAAATAAAATATGTAAAGGCTTAAATTTTCTTACTGCGCGTAATTTATTAATCGCGAAGAATATTAATTAACAATCCTCAGTTCCATAGACTGGAGACTAATAGAGGCTCATGTTTTGCACAGTTCAAAATTGTGGATGCTGGGAAATGAATAGCTCGCGGCTGTCTCCGTTCAAGTAGTAATTAACCGTCACAATATGTTTGGAACACGAATAATGAATTCACTAATTCTTTGCTAAGGAATTTGCATAACGCGAAAACTGGTCTCCTCAATCATGCTTTCACCTGTTAATTCAAACGATACGAGAGAATGCACTATATTTAGAACGTATCATTTTTTTACTAAGGATATATAGCCAAGACGATCTTAAAT